TTTTTAACTTCGACAAGAAAAAATATACTTTACTCGTATATTTCAAAAACTCTGCCTATTTTTAAAGAAACATGTCGGCCAATATCTTCTACTGCCTTTCTTTATTGTATGAAGCCCTGTAACATAACGTTTACTTCATTCCATATATATGCATAAATGTAACCATATGAGCAAAATTATGAACAAGACAAGTTCGCCAAGCGACCCATCATAAAATAATGCATTTCAACCATTAAAACATGGAAAACATGCAAAACTTACTCTATATTATAGAAAATTAAAAACTGCCAGCCTTAGAATTACCAGTCATAGCATGCCTATTAAATTTTATAACCCAATGTAGTATACAAATATATCTGTCCAGTATAATAGCGTGATTTATATAATAAACAAAATAACTTGACAAGCCACACGTCGAAGATAGACAAATCACTTAAGTGATCCCTGTGCGATAAAGAAGCACTTAAACATCCATACCTGATCCCAAAGGAAAAGATCTCGTAGATAAATAATGGTTTCATTTTAAGATCATCTAACTGTAAAAGACGACTAAAATAATTGAAGCACTTTATTGAAGCACTTTATATAAAACGATTTACGCTAGTTATCAAACATTCTATATTTTCAAATGACATAAATGTGCTGGTGGTATTTTAAAGACATCCCCAACATAAAATAAATAATAAATTACTAATAATTCTGTCCAGTAAGACGTAGAATTTTATCTACTTCTATAAAATACAACTGAGGACATAAACAGCCGAAGATATAGTGACAACGAACACCTTGAATATGCCTAAGGAAATCACTGAAAGCTCTTGTAACAATAATCACTACAGAGCGTTTCTACATTCTCTTAATTCTCATAAATTTAAAACTCTAACCGCATAAGAAAATCTAAATAAAAAACTTTCATTGAAACATGTGTAAAAGAATGCTTGTTGCCCAAGTATACAGTATCCCTGTATACGTTGTAAACATAGCTTTCTGACTGAAATACATTGTTCTAGATTCATGTTCAACCCGGTCGTTAGATTTCATTTAACAGAGGTTTTATATTGATTATAAGTAATGAACAAGGAAGCACAAACAATATATATTGTAAGATCTTTTAGAAAACAGAGCAAAACTCTTCATTTAAAGGCCTAGCTGGAAGCAACACTAAAGCACAGGGAAGATGATTCGGTATAGAATTTCTATTCATAGTTCTTCTCACAACGAAAGTCAATCAGATAAATGACTCCAATCTCACTCCAATCTCTTGTTCTCACGAGACCTTAACCATTAGGTTCGTGATTTATTTTGGCTGGTAGTTTTATTTAGAATACTGAATGGTGATAGAAAAAACTTAAAAGAACAAAACTAAATCCAGAAACCTGATATAATATACACCTGAGGTAGGCCAAAGTACGTATCAGTCAAAACAGAAGTTGATGACAGCAAAGAAGACATATCAAATATTAATATTAGGTTTAGTCATAAATAATTTCACCTTTTTTTTTCTTTTTTTTTTTTTTGCTTATCAACTTTATTCTTCAAGGGAATATTTTACAATTAAAGTTTATACAGTTTAATATTGATTCTTATTTACAATATCTTCTTTATACCTAACAGTTATTTCTTAATACCTTTTCAGGAAAATTCCGATTTTTTTCATCTATCTATATATAAAATTCTGTAACTTTCATCAGTCCGTCCGTCTCATCCTGTAAAATAGACATACATTGAGGGATCGAAACCAAATTTTGGGGAGAAATACAAACAGGTGAGTGGGTTGAAAGTGCAGTTGGTTTTACTAGGGTTAGTAGCTTAAATATTCAATCAATTTGTTTAAATTAAGTTTTATTATCAAACATACAAAAACTTGCTCCCACTATTTTAATAACAATTAAATGATCAAAATAACAAATACTTATTTAATAAAATTACAATATTGTTTTTTTTTTCAAATCTTGTAATGTTTATATATACATGAATCCAGTTTCCAATTCGCCCTTCGTTTCCAAGAACTGTAAAAAAAAAATCACAAGGCCAATCTCTTCAAAAATTTGGAATTTGCCTCCAGAAAGAAATATTTACGTATGATCAGTTGTACATTGCATAGTAAGAAATCCTAAGAATTTATTCTTGGCTGTTAAAAGTGAAAAAAAAATGTTCTTGAAAAATGTGAAATTTTCTTTTTCCAAAAAAATCAGCTTATTCAAATTTCATTGATTGGTTTGCGAAATTAAAAGAAAAGTAGTTTGGAAATCTGGACAAAAATGTTAGCTATTACTTCCACAATACAAAATACTTCTAGTATGAAAAGGTTTTCGCTGATTGATTGAATCTGTTTTTTATCTGATAAACTTATCCCCACTCAAAATGTTTTGCATGGATCGGAAAAGGTAAAAAACGATTTAGGCAAAATCAAGTAAATATAACAGAATTAAAACTGACCAAAAGAGTTTAATTTATTTTCTTATCTTGTGTATTTTGTATGCTAGATGCGCTGTCATCTAAGAGAACATTTTCCTACTGAAGATTACAAGGACGCTTTTTTACGAACATTTTATGGCAGCTTCTGGATATATAACTTAGCATTTCGTGGTTGATTGCGTTTTTAGTCTGGATTTCTGGGATGAAGAGTTATCATTATTTACACTATATGCGCACTATTGTCCTGATCCTTGTTGTTTCTTATCACAATGTTTCGGCAGTTGTGCCTCGATGCCTTCAACAGGTGTATATCGATATGGGTAACGTACAGGGAAATCGGAACTGAACCCTTCATTTAATCTACAGGAATAGACTGTTCCCGTTCCACTGATCATGTCTAGGGATATCGCTTCTAAAGAAATAAATGTCCCGACGATGCCACCACATGTAAAACATTTTCCATTCTTTCATAAATTTTATTTCTTGGAGTCGGTTGTAGAGATTTGCAGTGAACATTGTCGCATTTTACCCATCATCTGGGATAATGAAGGAATAGTTTCTGAGGCGATATTTTCTTCATTACAATTGGTACCCCGAAACAGGAACGGCTTACAACTCATTATTTATCGCTCATAAATAAAGTAAACTGATTCAAAAAGACTCTAAAACTACTTATATCCGAAGAGATACCGTCACATGCTGGGAGAAGGGTAAATGACGTGTATTCGATCCTGTGTAGCGGTAGTAGTATGTTTAAAGAAAAAGAAACTGCGATAATTTCAAATTTAGACCAACAAGCATCTCCAAACAATAAATTTTAATCTGAGAAAAGAGAACCGCAACACACAAATATATACTGCTTCTACTAATCCCAAACATATTAATCCCTTATATCGTACTCAAATGCATACTAATTATAAACAAGATGAAAATATACGAAAAAAATTAGTAAAATTTAGTAAATACTAATATATCCACAACAGATCCTAAAAAAAAAATTAGGTTAATCTTATATTACACTAAATCTAGTCTATCCAACTTAATTATTCGAAATGATTCTTCCCCACTCCCCGTTAGTGATTTGCAAAAAAACAACATAGTTTACAAATTCAAGTGCCCTTTTGGAGATTGTATCTCCAACTAATTAAATAATATCTATGTTGGTCAAACCACAAACTCGCCTTCACAATGCTTGACACTACATTTGAATGATAACTCTAACATTTTTAAGCATTTAAAACAACATGCCTGGCCGCGTACACAATTCCGGAAAATCCTTGTTGAAAACGCAACTATACTTGAACAGGAAAACAATAAACAAAAACTAAAAATTCTTGAAGCTGAAGCTGCCATTTATTTTTATAAAACAGTTGAAACCTAACCTGAACAAAATAAACTACGAAATCTCGTGTGGTCATGTGTGACGTCACGTGCTGCGACGCGATTTTCGCTTCTGCGTCTCGTATACAACAAAAACAAATCATTATTGTCCCTTGTATTGGCTGATATATTGAAAAGTAATTGTCATCTTTGATAATGGCTTATGTAAGCCGAAAGCTTAGATTGGATTTAAACATATATCAATATGGTGATTTCCTTTCGTCCTTCAATGATAATGTTATTAAGCTTATCAGACAATATGAAAGGAACTTACTTAAAATGCATATACAAAACTTGTCTATATTATTTAATGAAACATGCATCAATGAAAAATTGCTGCCTAAATATATATATATATACATATATATATATATATATATATATATATATATATATATATATATACTACAGTTCACGCTGTACAAGACCCGGTGGGTGAACCGAAGCTAAAGGGTCATGTTAAAACGCAGTTTAAGCGAATTGGAGAGGAAGCTATCCATTAATCCTAGATTTGAATAGATTAACATTATAGCGATTGTGGAAACATGCTCTTGGGAGTCGGCTCCAGAGAGCAGCTGTTTGAGGGAAGAACCTGTTCGAGTGGAACTTACTTCTCCCCCATGGAACAAGGGGCGAATGTGGTTGGTTTGCTACAATAGGCGTCGCATGGTGGAAAATAATTTGTCACACGCAAGGACACGTAGATGCTTTTAGAACCTATCGTGACTAGGAAGTCAGGTCTGGGCAACTCCTGCCCAAATATGATAACAGTAATCCATTTTAGGTCTGATCTGCCTCTTGTGAATCACAGAGTGAAGATGAAAGTAAGAAAAACAAGAAGGCTGAGATGAATGCCGTAAATAAATGTTAGCGCATAGTGCTCGTAATAACTGGCGCATTTAGAACAAATTCTCGTTTGTGGAACTCTTTTACGGCTTCTTGGTTCTCAGGTAACATTGATTATCAAAAAATTAAATGCAATCGTTATCGTCTATCTTTTTTAATTATCGTTCATTTATTATTTTGACTCCTTAAAAGTGTTTTTTTTTTCTTTATATATATCCTCTCACTGTCAGTAATTACGTGCGTCTTAGTGGATTTATTGCCTTGCTTGGGTGAAATGATTAAAAAAGGTAGATGATTATAAATTATAATTTCGGGGAATAATCGGGACTATCCAAAATCTGGTATTCCTGGGAACTATGAGAAACGTGATAGATAGACAAACTTCTTCTTCTTCTTCTTCTTCTTCTTCTTCTTCTTCTTCTTCTTCTTCAAATACTTCTCTCTTCCAATTCTTATTCTTCAAAATTTTCAAATTCTTCCTCTTCTTCAAATGCTCCAATTTTTCTTCATATTCTTCAAATTCTTCTTCAACTTCGTCTTCAAATTCTTCATCTTCTTCAAATTATTTTTCAAATCTTTTTCAAATTCTTCTTCTTCAAATTCTTCTTCTCCTTCTCCTCCTTCTTCTTTTTCTTCTTCTTCTTCAGAGAGTCTGGCTCATGCTTACTCTGAACTGTATAAGAAATGCCGCGCTGCCTCTTGTTTTACTGCATGCTGGAAATCCACATCTATTTTTCCAGTTCTTAAGAAATCAGGTGAACCGTCCGAACCTTCCATCTGTCAACCTTTTAACCTCTAACCTTGGCAATTTACTGTAGGCCCTAATCAATGCTGATTTGGTTATGCATTTCACATAACAGGGCCTTCTTTCAGACAACCCATATGGCTTTCGTTTCTCTCGGTCAACAGCTGATGTACTGACGATAATTGCAAAAAGATTCTATCAAGCTCTAGCTTAGAGTGGCAAAGCTCAGCTTGTTGCTTTGGATATCTTGAACGCCTTCGACAAGGCTTGGCATGCAGATCTTCTTCTTTAATTGAAAAGCTACGGTGTTTCCGGACAAATTTTTGAAATGATCCAGTAATTCTTATCAAATTGTGAAATGAGAGTTATCTTGAACGGTCACTCTTCTACATCATTTTGAACTAATGCATTTCTTCCTCGGGACTCTGTCCTTTGGTTCTATTTTGTTTTTAATTTTCATTAATGGCCTTCTCGATAGCATCAACTCTTAACTTGGTAGTGTGCTGATGACACAATCATTTACTTCTGGGTCTATAGTACGTCTCATCGGTCCGATAAGATCAAAATGGCGGCTGATGTCACAAATGAGTTTCAGTCTATTGTTAACGAAGGAAAAAGTATGGCTTGTTAATTTTAACGCGTTCAAAGCTAAAATGCTTTCTATTAATCATCTGATAGAAATAGAAGAAGAAGAAGAAGAAGAAGAAGAAGAAGAAGAAAAAGAAGAAGAAGAAGAAGAAGAAGAAGAAGAAGATCTCTTTTTGCTTTCCATCAATATGGTTGATACTAACCTCCAGGACAGTGACTCTTTGGGTCTTCTCGGACTAACGTTCTTGGCTGACATGAAGTGGAAAGCTTATATTGAATCCATCACAAATTCAGCCGATAATAAAGTTGGTTCAATGTGACGTTCCAGACATTTTTCTCTCCTGAATCTATCTTACGTATAGACAAGTCTAACATTCGTCCATGTTTAGAATATGGCTGCCATATATGGTCTGTTGCTTCCGCTATATACCTAGAGAGACTTGAAAAAATCCAAAGAATCAGCATTATTATTGGTCCAGATCTGTCGTATCGGCGTTAGTCACTCTCCCACCGCTGTAAAGCCTGACCTCTGCCTTTTCTATAAATACTTTCACAGCTGTTCGGATAGCCTCTTCACCATGATACGTAGACCTTTTGAATTTAAGCGCAGTACTAGACTGGCGATGAGGTTTCATCAATTTACAGTTGAGGTAAATAGATGTGAACGTAGGTTCTGTGCTAACAGTTCTTTTCTCATACTTCTTGCTTGTAGAAACGCACTTCCGCTTCTTTGCCTTACAGCCAACGTTAATCTTCAAAAATTTAAATGCAATGTCAATCGCTTTCTACTGTCCTCCTGATTACTCTTCATTCGTTCTTCCTCTTTAGTAAAGTGTCTGGTTTCTAATTCTTCCCCACCTAGTAATCCCTTGTGCCTTAGTAAATTTACTGCCTTGCTTGGGTTGAAATGATCTATGATCTGTCGATGAACAGAGAAGTAAGTACATCATAAAAGATTCTGCATTAATTATCTAAATTTTTACTTAATGCTATGCTAATCGAGATACATATATGTTTTGAATCATTTTTTGAAATTATTTCTAAAGATAACCAAATTATTTTGACCTGTTCTAAAGTTAGCTGTGAGCGGGAAACGCTTAGGAAATGCAAACACTCCATAGATAGAATTAAAAATAAGCAGCTTTTAGAATTCGCTCTCTCTAACTTGTTACAATGCTGTTATTCGATCGTTACACCTTTGTTTCCCAAAGTTTGACCTTGTGTCATACTGAATTCAGCTTTGTCATTAGAAAAAAGAAATTATGCAACAGTCGCATATAAACTACATTTTAAAATCACCGTCCTGTTTTGCTTTACAAGGAGTGCCTACCCAACATCAGGCGGTTACGTTAATCAATAATCATTTGAATACCTGATGATAAATCACAGATACTCGGTCACAAATATCAATTAGCCGAAGGAAAAGTAGGATAAAACATAAAAAGATAAAATCGATATCAGATTTATATAGATTTTTATCCCACTTATTTGCTCAATGATAGATTTCCTAAATAACTGCGTTTGCCCTAAAAGGTTATGAACCGACATATCCCCACACTGCACCAACCCCCAAACAAGAGTAAAAGATGGAGATTAGCCACTCAGACAAGGTGATAAATAAAAAAAAATATTCGTAATGGACTCTCAATGACCACAGTGTATTATTTTAATACTGGTCACAAGCAATCGATATATAGCTGTCCAGCCAGTTCAAATGCAGGCAAAACGATCAATTATCGATAAAAGATCGAAATGCAAAAACTATCAGTCTTCTGAAAATGGTGATGCTGATGACATCCTGTTTATGGCAGACGCAGAAGGAAGAATACAGGACATCAAGACAAAGTATTAAAGTAATGCTTTTCTTTGGTTGTTTTTGATTATAGGCATATCAACCCATATATATATATATATATATATATATATATATATATATATATATATATATATATATATATATATATATGCCGCTAAACGAAAACAACCCACAAATATTCCCGCATTCCTTTACTACATTGTCTTGATGTTATGCATTCTTCTCACAATCATAAATTCATACTTATAGCTCTGTCAAATGACACTAAGCACTGTATTTATAATACTGAGGAAGAAATATATTTATATGTACTTGCAAGTACATGTGCGTGTATGTATATTTTTATCATACCCATACCTATATATATATATATATATATATATATATATATATATATATATATAATCGTTTGGAAAAACCTTAGGTATTTTGGCTTGTAATTGAACAAACCAATGCCCAAGAGAAAATAAGGGATAAAAAAAAGAAAGAACTAAGACCATGAAATTGAGGCGAAAAGAATCATCCAAGCTCAGAGTCCAAAGAAAAAAACCTCCAACACGAATAAAGCAAAAGTAACTATGTAAAGTGTTCAATACATTAAGTAGAGCAAACCTAAATATGAACCTAAAGAGCCAGGTAAACCTACCTAGGTTTACTTGGCTCTTTAGGTTATATATATATATATATATATATATATATATATATATATATATATATATATATATATATATATATATATATATATATATATATATATATATATATATATATATATATATATTCCAGTCTAAGCCGTTGCATTCATTTACGTGCTAATGCCCTTGGGAACGCTATAATCCTCTTCTTTTCTTCCAGTTATGGCTAAATAGCAGGACATAAATATTTTATATTTAAAGATATTTTTGTAGGTACAAAATTTAATGATCGGAATAAAAGTATAAAACTAAATATTACGAGACATATTAAAAACGGGCGAAGCAACCGGTTTCGATCCCGCTCTTCAGGCTTCAACGGGAGATTTAAAATCAACACAGAAAAATGTACAATAAAAGGAAGTTGTGAAAAAAAAAATTATATCCTTCGCCCGTTTTTTTAAAATATGTCTCGTAATATTAAGTTTTATAGTTTTATTTCTATATATATATATATATATATATATATATATATATATATATATATATACTAGAATAAATCCTAAGGAGGTAGGCAAGCCTACCTAGGTTTCACCTACACTTCTTCTGCCACGTTGTTTAAATGCTTATTAGCTTTTAATGGTTTTGTCAATAAATACTCTTCTGTCATTTCTTTTTTAGCCGGTTTAACCTGAAGATCCTTTTCGGTGAAAACTAAGGTGGGTTTGCCTGGCTCCTTAGGGATTTCTTTTTAGTTTATCGCTCTACTTACCGTATTCAGCACTCCACGATTTTGTCTTTCTATTCTTTTGTCTTTTTCTATTTTTTTTTTTGCACTAAGAACTTAAAGAACTTGGCGATTTGTTTCGTCTTTTTCTGATATTTTAGTTCTTTCTTCTTTTTTTTTTTCAAAATTTTTACTCGTGTGTAAGTTGATCTCTCCGTGGTTTTCCAAACGAGTACTACTATATATATATATATATATATATATATATATATATATATATATATATATATATTAATGCATCTTTCATTAAATAATATCGACAAGTTTTGTCTATTTATTTTAAGTAAGTTCCTTTCATATTGTCTGATAAGCTTACATAGCTGATGAACAAATAAAATGCTTTCTTTGAAGTCTTAATACAAAGCATATAGAACATAATACATAATACATAATCCCAAACATATTAATCTCTTATATCGTAGTCAAGTGCACACTAATTATAAACATGACAATATACTAAAAAATACTAATATATCCACAACAGATCCTAGCAAAAAAAATTAGGTTAATCTTATATTACACTAAATCTAGTCTATCCAAGTGTTTGCAATGATTCTTCCACACTCCCCGTTAGTGATTTGCAAAAAAACAACATAGTTTACAAATTCAAGTGCATTTTGGGAGATTGTATCTGCAATGGATTAAATAATATTTATGTTGGTCAAACCACAATCTCGCTTTCATAACGCTTGACACTACATTTGAATGATAACTCTAACATTTTTAAGTATTTAAAACAACATGCCTGGCCGCGTACACACTTCCGGAAAATCCTCGTTGAAAACACAATTATACTTAAACATGAAAACAATAAACAAAAACTAAAAATTCTTGAAGCTGAAGCTGCCATTTATTTTTAAAAAACAGTTGAAAACTAACCTGAACAAAATAAACTACGAAATCTCCACAAACATTATTAAATGCCTATAATTGATAACAGAAGTCATTGGTCTATACCAAGGACTTCCCTTAATACTTCTCGTTTTCACTCTCGCGTGGTCATGTGTAACGTCACGTGCTGAGACGCGATTTTCGCTTCCGCGTCTCGTATATACGAGTTAGTCGTTGCTTTGAAATTTTTCATGCAACAAAAACAGACTATCATTATTGTTCCGTGTATTGGTTGATATATTGAAAAGTAATTGTCATCTTTGATAATGGCTTATATAAGCCGAAAGCTTAGATTGGATTTAAACATGTATCAATATGGTGATTTCCTTTCGTCTTTCAATGATAATGTTATTAAGCTTATCAGACAATATGAAAGGAACTTACTTAAAATAAATAGACAAAACTTGTCTATATTATTATTAGTCCAAATGCCGGTCGTCAGTTAAATAAACGGACGTATATTGCTTGACATTCGAGGTTTCCATGCAAATAGCAAAAAAGAAACAATTATTTATATTTATCTAGCTACTTATCTATTTCTGTCTTTTAATAATTAACTCTTTGTTTTCATATGCCTTTTGTTTCTTTCTGTTTCATTGCTTGTTTGTCAATCAGTTATAAACTGTAATCACGGTATTTATGTGCCTCTCTGGTAATAGAGCATCGGCTTCTTCTTCTGGACAAGTCATTGAAATAACTAGAAATATCGTGCATCATTTGCATTCATATCATTTACAACGTGTACATGGGCTTTCGTCGACACTCAGCACGGGACATCTATTGCTCACCCTGCCGATCCGTTTTTGGTCGCTTCAGTCAACGTTTACGGTTGAGGAAACATGTGGAAGAGATGGAATAACAAATTTACACAACATTTGTGGTCGGGTCGGAATTCCCATAAGACAATACAGGCTTGGCCCCATCATCAGTTTATGATTAATGTATGGCTGGAATTGTAGGTAACTTTCTGGTAGGTCAATATGTTCTCCCAGGACATCTTACAGAAGCTGTCTACAGGGACTTCATATCGAACACACTTTACCAGGACTGCTAGAGGATGTATCCCTGCTAATATGTAGACGCATGTAGCTTATGCATGATGGGTCTCTATCACATCTTAATCACATTGTTCGCGAGACGCTAGCTGGCATCTACCATGAAAGGTGAATAGGTAGAGGAGGGGTGGTTCCAAGGCCCGCACGTTCCACCGACATCAATCCTTTGGATTTTTATCTGCGGGGCCAGCTACAACAATTGGTTTCTGCAACATGTCACAGGGTCCTGCAAAACCATTCGACATCCTTGTGGGAGTATTAGAAAGGGTCCGCTAGTCAGTGATCCGACGGGTGTATGCGTGTGTAGAAGAAAACGTAGGACATCTTGAACGTTTGTTGCTGTGTTAAGGTACAATGATGGACCTTTGGTTATATGTTTATATGAATATTTTACATTGTTTTGAGGTAGTATCCCATCCCCAAGTTTTTTAAAAGTATTTTTGGAAGTTATCTTGGATTGTACATTTAAAACAGTCCACACTAAACTTTAAACATAATAACCCAAAAACACAAAGGATTTGCGGATATAAGTTAATGAATACTTTTACCCTTGTTTTGGTGTAAGGAACCGCTTTCAAATTTAAAGCTTTCAAATATATATATATATATATATATATATATATATATATATGAGTATGTATGCATACAGGAGGTATCAAAAAGACTTCTCCAAAATTTGAAAGCGGTTCAATATATGTATATAAAATGGGTATATATAGTACCTTTCAAACCATATATATATATATATATATATATATATATATATATATATATATATATATATATATATATATATATATATATATATATATATATATATACATGACAAATATATATATGACAGACAAAAGTTCATTTTCTCCAACAAAAGACATTCATTTCTGTAGTTCACTGCTAACAGCAAGCAGAAATATTTAATTTCTCCTCCCGATGATGGCCATTTCGGTCGAAACTAGTCGAGGAATCTAAATGGAATAATAATAATAAAAAACGAAAGAATATTAATCTACAACCCAGTGTGTCTAATGATTTTAATTTTTTAATTTTTTATTTTCTTATTGTTCAAAATATATATATATATATATATATATATATAGTTTGAAGGTGTGCTATATTTATGGGATAGAGTGCTCATTATCAGGGATAGAGCTTATGTAAATATAAATATAAAAGTGAACATTGAAATCAGAGGCGGCAGGCTGTTACATGCTAGACGCAATCTAGCAGGCAGCCTGAGGATTGCGTCTAGCATGAAACATGCGATAATTGTTCATCTCACAAAATGTTTATTGTCTAAAAAAAACACTAAACTAATTGAGTTCGTTTTTCAAAGGTTTTCAGATAAGACATTTAGCCATCTTGACAAAATTTAACGCAAAAATCACTGAAAAAGCCTTTTAGAGAACAGGTTAAAATCGTTTTCTATCAGCCCTTCTATGTCTTCCCAATTGAGTAATGGTGTGATTCAGCCCTTCAATAATGGTACCAACATCCATACTCTGTTTTCCATCCTTAAAGTCCATTCAAGAACAATCAAGAAAACGGTGAAATATTTTTAAAGAAGGGAACAGTAGAGAGGAAAAATTGATCAGGAGGTCACAACAGCAAGTTGGATCATCATTGCAACTTAGAGCTAAATATATTCTTATTTTCAATATAGAGCCCAAATGTGTCGGAGAGTTCCAGTAAGATATCTTTAATCATTTCTAAGATACAACGGTTCAATGCTTTATCTAACAATTGGACAATTTTGCTGTTACACCCGACACACACACACACACACACACACACACGCGCACACACGCACACACGCACACACACACATGCACACACACACATGCACACACACACATGCACACACACACACACACATATATATATATATATATATATATATATATATAATTTCTTATAAAAAAATTTCCAACATAAATATGTTATAAAATCACTACAAAAATAGCGATTTTGTTTCAACACTCTCAGTGTCTTATCAAGTGATGACGTTGAATATAAAAAAAAATAATTATATCTGCTCTACTTTGTATTGAGCACTCTTTTAAGAATAGTAATTGTTGGTTATTGGAATTCATTCCGTATATACCAATTATATACTTGGGTAAATATATATATATATATATATATATATATATATATATATATATATATATATATATACTCCCAATTAGATTTTTTCTGCATAATAAGATAGATGCAATATATTATGATGCGAATTTTGCTTTTTTATTATATCAAAGGCCGAAATTTAGAGCTAGCGTTTGTCCTTAAAAGCCTGTAAGTTTCAAAACCACCATCTTATCCTTCCCCTGTCCCCTTTTCGTGTTTCTTTTTCCCTTTACCGAAAGCTCACTACCAAATATTTCCTTCTCCTACGTTCGATTCGCATTACTATTTGTGTTTCACTGTTTTCTCCATGTAAAGACCACGCAGGATCATTTTATCTCCCAGTACTTACCGTTATAGCAGAAGGGAAAACCCACTATATTCATGGCGCTTTGTTTTGTTGTTGAGGGTAGGTGTTTTTTTTGTTTTTTTTGTTTTGTTTTTTTAATGTTCATCTGAAAGGCAGGTATAAAATCAAATCTCTCATAATCTTGGAATTGCAATCGATAATCGATCTGTTGGATGATTCGAAGTCACTTTCAAATGCTGACATGCTGCAGTTTGCTTTTGTTTATATATACAAACACACACTCGTGTGTACATATATATATATATATATATATATATATATATATATATATATATATATATATATATATATATATATATATATATATATATATATATATATATATAATAAAATAAAAATATAAAATATATAAATAAAATGGCGCATATATATATATATATATATATGTGTGTGTGTGTGTGTGTGTGTGTGTGTGCTCCATTTTTATTTTTTGATTTTTATGATGTTTCTCAATTTTTACCTTTTTTTTTTTTTTACTCCCTCGGCCGCCACTGTCTATATTTAATTTATTCTTTCATTTTGTCTATTTACTTCTTTATTTTGAGATTTTGCCGCTTTTATCCAAGTTAATGTTATCGCTATTTGCGAAGCCGTGAGTCACAATATCAATGTATGACAGTGGCTTTCGGCTGTTGAACCTGATAATTAGAGGAGAGAAGTGAGAGTTGTTTCTGAAAAGAAAGAAAGAAAGAAAGGAAGAAAGAAAGAAAGAAAGAAAGAAAGAAGAGAGCTAAAGGTTGTCACGTGTTTCAAACCGCTCGGTTTCAAAAACAAAACAAAAAAATGCGGCCAACTCGAAGAGGGACGGGGTTGCTTGTCTGCGGTGTTGATTCATCGGCATTCTGAAAAGTATCCGATCGATATGCAATGATGCAAAAACTGTCGAAAGGACTGAAGAATTATTATCGGGTGGGGCATCAAGTCGCCAGAAACATTTGAATCTCTCTTTGTCCATCCACCCGTCCATCCGCCATTCATCGGGTATTCAGTGGCTTGGAGAGCAAATTAAACTTACATTCCTATTTCTCATCCTTGCTTTAATTCACACACACACACACACACACACGTATATATGGATGTATGAGTGTGTATATATATATGTATTTTATTGTGTTCATGCGTTCTTTTTATAGATACAAATATTTAAGTAAATGCTCTGTTTATGATAAACAGTATTAACAACATTTACCGGCCTGAATATCCGAGAAATTGTCATAGAAAATATGCGTCCCCCGCCAGGAATCGAACCTGTATCCTAAACGGAACCGTCATATATCCTGATGTGCTTTTACCGATTGAGCCACTGAGAAGCGTTCGGTTAGCAAGGTCGATTTTACTGTTTTAAGCACGTCAGTCTATATGAAGATTCCGTATAGGATACAGGTTCGATTCGTGTGGGAGGACGCATATTTTCTATAACAATTTCTCGGACATTAAGGCTGGAAAATGTAGTTACTACTGTTTATTATAAACAGAGCATTTACTTAAATATTTGTATCTATAAAAAAAAACAAAAAAATAAAAAAAATGTCTTAAAATAATTGTCGGACTTTCATAATATATATATATATATATATATATATATATATATATATATATATATATATATATATATATATATAAAAAAGAAGAGGGTGCCGCAAACGTTTTTGGTTGTAATGTGGATTTATTGAGAAAAATATTATACTTTGTTTTTACATAATTTCACGACACGTGTTTCTGGTCTGGTCTCGCAACCGTCTTCAGGTGAAAGTGGAGATTTTTACATATTAAAATAATTAATTTTTTCTTCATGTTCAATGTGGAATATTCTCGATATGAGACATTCTGTTTGTGTGTTGGCAATCCGAATTTCCTTTCTAGAATTGTCAATGAAGAGTTCTGCGTGAAGGGTCATAAAACAATTAAGGTTTGTCCAGCGAGTAGTTATCGGCATTTAATCTTTTAATGTTTTAGTGACCTCTATGTGCTCTTGGATCTGTTTCTATTTTGGCGTGTTCCTGTCAGTGTGTGTGTACTGACTACTTGTGGTGGGATAGTGTGTATGTGCGTATGTGTGTGTATGCGTGTATAAGTACAAATAAGTTTACGAATTCCTCGTAGTAAGGAAATATACGCACGCATATATACACGCATTTCTTTGTTATCAAAGAAATCCTCCTGTCTCGTAATACTCTGCCTAGGTTTTGAAATGCCTCCATGACCAGCCCAAGCGTCTAACTTACTGTCCTCCGTCAAAAAAACTTCCCAGATATTTAAACTTCCGCACCTGCTTGATTTTAATGTTCTTGACCTGCAAATCGTAATTCGGGCTCATCCTTTGACTGATGACCATGCATTCTGTCTTCTTGTATTTTGTGCTTAGTCCTTTCTTCTCGCTTTCCTTCGATAACTTCTATAGGTGGTTTTGTAATTTCATTTCTGTGTCAGTTATCTGTATTGCGTCATCTGCGTATCTTTGTTGTTGGTTATAGAATTTATAATACATTTTAATTGCAAACCAAGTTACTGTATATATTCCAATTATAAATTTTATACGATTGTACTATACGGCTTTCACTTATGACCGAAATTAAATTTCAACGATCCAATTTTGAACGTAACTATTATTTTTAAATCAAAATACTATAAAGATTTGAATAAGAACATTGTGTGTGATTATTTGTCATGTCAAACCCCAACTTTTAAACTGAGTGCAATACCACGGTTCAAAAATCAATCTGCCCTTATATACATATGTATATTTATATGCACGCGTAGACGCATAAAACATGTCCACACTATTAGATAGACTGAGCAGACCTGATAAATCTCAGAAAAAAACATCCTTCTGTCGAACTAGATTTTTCCGTTGCCTCAAGAAGTGTCCCTTCATCTATGAGTAGATTTTCCAGTACTCATTGCTTTATGAGGTGACCGGTATTACATACTATTTCAGTACTTCTTTTTACTTGAATTAAAAGATATTGATCGGGTTTCTACCGGAGTCGGCAAGGATCCAACCGGAAAGTAATCTCTTTTGATGGGACGATTCTTACCCACATTGCAACATTCTCTACACCGCCCACAGGCCAGACAGTAGCTGTCAAAATCTGAACAGGATCCGATCACATATAAGATTTGAACTGAACTTCTGATACTTTTAAGTGAAAGAACTTGCGGATATTTTGCTACTTTCGTTATTAAACTGGATAAATTATATTTCACATTTATCAGGTTATGATTACCATAATATCAATTTTGGGTCAATTTCTTTAGTCGAATACCTTTGGTGAAAATATCAGAAGTTAGTGCCTCATATGCAAATGGCTATCGATTTAAAGGGACTCTATTGTCCGATGCAAGTTGCTATCTTTTCAAACGGACTATTTTCAGATGAAAATGACGATCTATTCAAATGGACACTATTCACAGATGCAAATGGTTATCTATTTAAAGGGACTCTATTCTAAGATGCAAATTATCTATTCAAAGGGACTATTTTCAGATCTAAATGTTTACTTATTCAAAGGGACTCAATACTCAGATGCAAATGGTTATCTATTTAAAGGGACTCTATTTTAAAATGCAAATTATCTATTCAAAGGGACTATTTTCAGATCTAAATGTTTACTTATTCAAAGGGACTCAATACTCAGATGCAAATGGTTATCTATTTAAAGGGACTCTATTCTAAGATGCAAATTATCTATTCAAAGGGAATATTTTCAGATCTAAATGTTTACTTATTCAAAGGGACTCAATACTCAGATGCAAATGGTTATCTATTTAAAGGGACTCTATTTTAAAATGCAAATTATCTATTCAAAGGGACTATTTTCGGATCTAAATGTTTACTTATCCAAAGGACTCTATTCTTAGATGCAAACGGTTTAGTCAGAAGGACTCTATTCTCAGATGCAAATGTCAGTCTATTCAAAGGGACTCTATTTTCAGATGTAAATGATTATCTATTCAAATGGTATCGATTCTCAGTTGCAAATGGCTCTCTATTCAAAAGGATTTTATTCTCAGGTTCAAATGGCTATCAATTCAAGGAGACTCTATTACCAGATCCAAATGGTTATCGATACAAAGTGTCTCCTCTTCTTGGATGCAAATGTTTATCTATTCCGAGGAATCTATTCTCGACATGTTCTTAATAGCAGATAAGGGATATTTACTGATATTTACGATGACAAAACTGCGCGCTTTCCTTAGCTTTACCCAGCATTTATCGGAGATTTAAGATAGTTTTTAGGCCGTTTGAAAAGAAGAATTGGGTATTCCCTAAAGGTCAAATCGTGTGTTATCCATGATTTGTCAGAAGATGCAAAATGCTTGCGGTTTAAACTATAAGAAGCGGATAACTAAATGGCAAAATTCATTTACCCGTATGTATAAAAGAGATTAGAATTTGTAATTGTGAAACAAGGTACTCAATAAAAGACAAGACAACACCACAGATGATTCAAGCTCCATATTAAGATATTTTTTCATTACCGAAGATACAGTTATATATATATATATATATATATATATATATATATATATATATATATATAAAGAAGAAATATAGCCTTAAGGTGTGCTATATTTATGGGATAAAGTGTTCAATATCAGAGATAGAAGTCAACACTTAGAGGCGACAGTCTGTTTCATGCTAGACGCAATCGTATATATATATTCACAGATGCGAATTGAGTCACTGTCGGTCACTGGGCGTGTTTCTAAAAATAAATACGCTAAAGATCTACTTTCATCCCTACCATGCCGACGGCTTAATGGTTAGAATCTCCGACTGACACCAATTCAGTCGGGTTTCGATCCTAGCTAAAGGCTATCTAGCTACACTGATGAGTCTGTCTGTGGATGACGTTATATACATATATATATATATATATATATATATATATATATATATATAGATAAACCTAGTGAGCCAGAGAAAACTCATTTGGTTTCACCTAAGCGGATCGTCAGGAAAAGCCGGCTTTCCCTGACGATCCGC